CTGATTGGGCTGGCTGTCCCTTGACTCGGCGTTCTGTTACTGGATATTTTATCACTCTTGGCGATTCCCCGGTATCGTGGCGTACAAAGAAACAAAGTGTAGTTTCCCGTTCTTCGGCTGAAGCCGAATACAGGGCCATGGCAACTACTGTTTGTGAACTCAAATGGCTGAAATCCCTTCTCTTCTCCCTTGGTGTGCGTCACAAACAGCCCATGCGGTTGTTTTGTGATAATCAGGCTGCTCTTCATATTGCCGCTAATCCAGTCTTCCATGAACGTACAAAACACATTGAGATTGATTGCCACTTTGTACGTGACGAAATCCAACGAGGTGTTTTGTGTACTCGCCACATCTCCACCAATGATCAACCGGCAGATCTCTTTACAAAGGCTTTGGCTTCCGCTCCGTTTTCTCATTTACTGTCCAAGCTGGGCATCCAGAATCCGCATGCTCCAGCTTGAGGGGGGGTATTGGAACTGAGAAGTCCGGATCCGAAGAAGTCCGGATCCGGAGAAGTCCAACTTCCGAGGAATCCGGATTCCGAGAGATCCGAACTTGAGAAGTCCAAATCCTTTGATGACCGAATCTCATTCTAATTAGGATTGATCTTGATTTATTTGTTTCCTAGTTTGATTATGATTTGTTTACTTGTAGGATTTGTATTCCTTGTCTATTTTGAAATCATCCTCTCCTATAAATAAAGGAGAAACCCCTTGTAAAATAGGTTGGAATCAGCCTCCAACCTTAGGGTTGAATATCTTTTAGATTCTTGTAAAATAGGTTATTTTGAATTTGGCCCGTGTTAAATATTTTAAAATTAAATCGTTTCTTTAAAAAGATATTTTCTCGGTCCAAATTTAATCTTTGTCTTTGAGTGTTCACGGTCTTCAATAATATTTTGACAATTAATATTTTCAAAAGGAAATTCTTGATATTATATTTATATCGAAATACAATACTCTGCTTAAGGAGTATTTTTTTCACATTCAAATGTCAAATTTATAAATTTTGACCAAGAAAAACCAAATAAGAATATTAAATATGAACGAACGAAATACTCCCTTCGTCCCAATTTATTTGCAATACTTCGAACGACGTGCAAAATATCATGTCTTTTAAAATCACTTTAATTTCAAATTGTTAGAGTAATAAAAAGTAAAGTTACATCATTCAAAAGTATATGAAAAGTTCTACAAAACAAGATGCGACAAGAATATTTTATTTTATCAAATGGTCAACCAAAACGAGTAAACAAACAAAAGTTATCGAGAGGTCAGAATAGTAAACGTGGCGTTCTTTATGGGACGGAGGGAGTAATTTTTTACAAGACCAAAATCAGTTTCAACTAAAAAATTTCTAGAGGGACAAATTAAGTAAATCGATAACTCCAAATATTTTGTTAATCATTAATTCCAAATTTAAAAATTAAGTAGGACGATCAGTTGCAAAAAAAAAGGAGTATTTTTGAGAGACAAAAATAATCGCTAATTTTGCAGAGATTAAAAATATATTTAACTAAAAAAAATGGATTAGTGGAATGGAATAAAATAAAAGCACCCATTTTATGCCATATTTCCCGCTTTCAATTTCCTTTCACTCTCCACTCTTTTCTCTCCTCACATTTTTCCTTCTCCTTCCTCACCCACAACTCGCAATAATAATGTCTTCTT